GTAATACCCTCATGGTATGCTTCTGATATAACCGAGTATCGGAGTTCTTGGCATCCAACACGAAGTTCTTATGCCATTCTAAGTGTTCTGTTCTTACCAACGATCTTAATCTCGTGGCTATTTTGATTTTTCGATTTGTTTTAAGTCCTTACATGTAGGAACATCCTGCCAATGAACCTGATAAGATTCCTCTCGTGTTCTTTCCTACGCTCTATGTAGAATCTAGATTAAACGAGTAATGACGAGACGAATGAACAAGGCACCCAGCTAAGAAGGTTTTGAAATCAGAACTGAATCAAATGGGTGAAGGCAAATACAGATGATCATGATCATATATTGATAAGTACATTGCAGCAACCATACTTTGGATCTACATTACAAAGAATAGAGAGAATAAGAGCTCAGTTCATCGGTTCATGACAAACAACATCAGCCAAAGAAGATATCATTGACTGACAGGACTAAAGAACTTTTACTTACAGCAACTGCTAGCTATAAAACAACATCATTACATCCAGAAAACAAACTATATAGTTCCAAGCTTTAATCCTTCGCGTAGTTCTTTCTCTCTTGCCTTTTTTTTAAACTCTCATTGCCATCAGTTTGTGGTTCTTGCAGAGCATAGAAACAGTTCTTCAGCATTGGTTTGGGTTTTCCTCGAGTGAAATTATACAAAATGAGAATGCTTACAGTGAGCTATAGCTCCTTCGATGGAACGTGCCATCTCCGAGCTTGCGCTGTTGCATCTCTGAAGTACTTGTGGATCAAACATCCCGTTTGACGAGCTCAAAGAGGAAGAAGACGATAACGAGGAAGAACCGGAGGAAGATACGGAGGATGGACAGGAAGGTTTACTTGCAGAGAATGAGGCTCTCCTCTGTCTTCTAACTCTGTCTTTGTCAACTAATGTAGCTGTAACATGGTCTCTTCTAGAGCCGAATTCTTTTCTTTTTGGCCTATTTTCCGCTAGTTTTGCGCAGGACTCGTCTGTACAGGCAGACTTATTGAAGAGGGACCGGATGTATGCTCGTGAGGCCTTAAGCGTACGAAACAAAGAGGACTGCCTATTCTGTTTAAGCTCTTGGCAGCCTCCCATTTCAGCATTTGTCCAATGGTCAACGGGTTTTAGCTCAAAACTGAACCTGCACGACTCGGCAGGCAAAAAATTAAAGGACTTATGAGGGGTATAAATACTTGCATTAGCAGACGACACGGAGGAGGTCGAGATGAAGGAGATTTGGAAGTTTTCTTCAAAGCAAGGTTTGGTTTCATGGTGAGCGTTGGAGTTTTGAATGAGTTTTTGGACCATTTGAATTCGAGGAGGGAGATGAAGGGGAAGAAGCTTTCCCTTGTAGAAAAGCTCGTCGGCCGGGGAAATGGCGGTTTCTCTTCCAAGAGAAACTGCATTCATTTGGAACTCAAACTCTCTCGGTTGAGGCGGAGAGTTCAGAGAATAATGGAAATTGGAAGAGGAACTTATATCCATTTCTATGTAATCCTCTGTGTAGTTACAAGAGAATTGTCCAATGGCCATCTCTTCCTTTGCTTCCTTTTTTCACCAAACTTACAAAGGAAAAGTGTGGACGAAGTGATGCTCTTTGGAATGAAGATGGTCTGAATTTATAGTGATAACCATTCAGTGTCTCAAGATACTGAACCTTAGATATTTTGAATACTTCCAAGACGAGGATCGTGATGCTTATATACCATGTGAGAGGAGGAAGAAATAGAGAGAGAATTCGACAGCGAGGAGGAACATTTGACATGAGTGTGGTCCTCCATCAAACTCATCTCATTGCTCAAATCTATGATTGAATTAAGGAAGTCTGTAAAGATGAAAAGCTGTTTGTAAATTAGAATAGATAGCACAAACTGCAGAACTCCACGAGATATGGAAGTCTATGGAAGGTTTGAGCAGTAACTGAAAGACGGCTCAATCAGATGGGAAGATGTTCAAGTTTAGAAACCTGTTTGATCTAGAAGTCCAACAAGAACGACCAACGAGCACATACATCGTTGTGAAATCTTTTGCACCCTATTTCATGAGTGTTTTAAGGCAATAATGGTGAAGTTCCTCTCATTTTTTGTTCAGTGGATAAGTGTGAGATCTCACGTCGGTTGGGGGAGGAGAACGAAGCATTCTTTATAAGGGTGTAGAAACCTCTCTTTAGCATACGCGTTTAAAAAAACTTAGAGGGGAAGCCCGAAATGAAAAGCCCAAAGAGGACAATATCTGATTGCGGTGGGCTTGAGCTGTTACAAATGGTATCAGAGCCAAACACCAGGTGCCAGCGAGAAGGCTGAGCCTCGAAGGGCGATGTGCCAGCAAGAAGGCTGAGCCTTGAAGGGGGTGGGCACAAGACGGTGTGCCAGCAAGGACGCTGGGTCTCAAGGGGGGTGAATTGGGGGGTCCCACATCAATTGGAGAAGGGAACGAGTGCCAACGAAGATGCTGGGCCCCGAAGAGAGGTGGATTGTGAGATCCCACATCGACTGGGGAGGAGAACGAAACATTCTTTATAAGGGTGTGGAAACCCCTCCCTAACAGACGTGTTTTAAAAAACCTTGAGGGAAAGCTCAAAGAGGACAATATCTGCTAGCGGTAGACTTGGACGGTTACACTAAGAAAGTAATAATTTTCCAACCATATGAGTCCCCACTCAACCTTAAAAGGCAAAAGGACAGAAGTTAAACACTTCCCGGAATAGATATGTTCAAAAGAGAAAAGAAGAACAGAAGAAAAGGGTGAGGGAAATTGGAGTAGAGATTGAGACATAAGAAGCAATGTGCAAAAGGTCTGGAAAAGAGGAAAAAATCCAAGGGAACACCAACAAATGACCTATCTTATTCAACCAACTACTCTTGTCTGTTACTTGAATGATAAAAGAACACACGGCATGAGTATCTCCCACAACGTTAGGATGTTGACAATGTTGCTGTATTTAGCAGCAAATTCCAAAAGAAAGTAACAGCCCGCGTTAGCTTTTAAAACAGTGCTCGAAAAAAGAGAAAGTCGATAACGACTCGATATACTGCAAAACGGGAATGCTGTGTACTTACATGGGCATTTCTGGATAAACTAAGGTATTCATACCAGATGTTTTCATGTGTACTATATTCTTTTTCTCAGCATTATCTAACAACTGGAAATTTTATGAACTGTTCTTTTGACAAACTGATAACAGGCAGTATGTTGACAAGACTTACTTCCAACTGAAAGAAAGTACGCTTTTTGCGGCCCCACTATGAGATCCCAAATCAGTTGGAGAAAAGAACAAACATTCCTTATAAGGATGTGGAAACTTCTCCCTAGTAGACGCATTTTAAAACCATGAGGCTCACAACGATACACTAGGCGGTGTGCCAGCGAGGATGCTGGGCCCCCAGAGGGGGCGGATTGTGAGATCTCACGTCGGTTGAAGAGGAGAACGAAACCTTCCTTATAAGGGTGTAGAAACCTTTCCCTGATAGACACGTTTTAGAATCGTGAGGTTGACGACAATACGTAACGGACCAAAGCGGACAATATTTATTAGTAGTGAGCTTGAGCTGTTACACCCACCGTCTTAAATCTAGAGAGAGATACGTTGGGGGTGGATTCAACTTTGAAAGAAGGGTCGAACTATAGGCCATGTTGCTTGATGGCTCTTCAAGAAGGAATTTTGTTTTAGTTCACAATATGTGAGGTTGGAAGTCAAAACTCCCGACCTGGAAGTCAACCATGATTAGCAGCCTTTTAAGGAGGAATTAGAACACAAGACAATCATGGTTTGATTGTAAACTAAATTAAAAGAAGAAAAAAAGTCGATATTAAATAAGTTCTTGTTAATTTCCTTGTAGATTAGTGAATCAAGTGGTGTAAAAAAGTTCTTAGATGCAGCTTGCATCGAGCGTCCATGTCAAACACGGATTCGTCCAGACAAACTTTTGGACAGATGTCCAACTTGCAAAAGAACATGTCTAACATTATATGTGTGCATTAAATTTTCCAACACATGACTTTGATAAAAATTGAAGTCTAACCCATGTAAACCCAATCTTAAATAAAAAAAAAACACAGCTCCTACGACAGTTTCTAAACATCTACAAGATTGTTGAGTAATGTAACTTCTCAACAATTACAGACCTTAGAAACTCTCTAACACATGCCTCTGAGCCACGGGTTTGTGTCAAGTGAAACCCGAGTTCGCTAGTATGCCGACTTCATTATGTACTATGGCTTGTTTGGCTCGAAAGAAACGAGAGAAAAGTATTAAGGTCCATCCTTTTTAGGAGAATGCCAATCTTCTCCAGTATGCTGACTTTAGTTTGTATTGGAAATAAAAGCTACTTTTGGTCTGTTTGAAAGAAGGGGAAAAAGAAAAGAAGAAGAAGAAGAAAATTTTATGCAACGGCTACCACTGATGTTAACAGAGACTGGTTAATAATCTCCAACTAGACGAAGACATCGACAGTGTCGTGGATTTTCTCAGCAAATTTCCATTGATAATTACGAATTTCATAGAGCTAAAGGAGAAGGTTGGAGAACATGGTTTTGGAGAGGATAAGGATGTATCGAAGACTTTGGACGTTACGTAGTTTGGGTTAAGTGTATGATCTTATGGGTAAATTTCAACAGGACAGAGCCAGCAGCTGTCTCTTTCAGCTGAGTCTTTCAGCTGTGTCTTTCAATGTTATTTTTTTCTCATTACTAGAAGCATCCATAGGCTTGTCTGCAACTTAAAAGCCAGCCCATATGCCTAAAGGAGGTTTTTGATTGTGAGGGAGAGAGAGCTGCCATTTGGGGTGGTTTTAATTTGGTCCCTATGTTGGGAGCTAAATTGACAGAGCATTAAATTTCAAGTTAAGTTTTGTTTTTTTTTTTTCTTCTTTTTTCCTTTTTTGTTCGTGGGAGTCGGGTGGGGAAGGAGAACGAACATGGCACCGTTTAGTCTCGTGCCCGGTTTTACTTTTTAGTATATGACAACATTTCTTTTCTTTTCTTTTCTTCATTTGATTAAAGAACCTCAAATCATGGTAAGCAAGAACATAAATTAATGAATTTAAGTGCATCTGAATGTAATATAACCAAAAAGGAAGCAAAAGAAGACAAGATTAAGAGATAAAATTCAACTAACATCTTTACTTTTATTCCACACAGGAGCTTCGCTTGATCCACCCAAATAGCTACAGCTTCAAACAATGCTCCTGTGCCTCTGTGTCAAAATTACTTGAGGAAGAAACCAGTGAAAATGTGAAGAATTTCGTCTTTTTCGTACATCGAAACTGATCTTTTTCTCTGTGCAACGACTACAAATCAATCTCAGGCAATGGCACTTTCCAAAAATTCCACGCGTTATAATCTTCCTGCATGGATGCAAAATGATAACGACAGTGTTAGCCTTAACGAAACCAGTATTCGGATATTTGTAAGTCGTATTTTCTCAGGCTGCTTGGACATGGCTTTAAGGATTCTACATTCATTACCTGCTCGACCAGCGAGGTTGGCGGAAACATATCGTTAACAAGTGTGTGCAAAGACGTGTAAGACTTCACGTCAATTCGATGACTAATGGCGACTTCTCCCTGGAAACAGATGCAAAGTTTGCAAAGTGAATGCCAAATTGCTACTCGATAAAGTATGGCGAAAAGGGTTGATAAAAAATGGATACTTGGATACCTTGGGGTTGATTATGAATATCTTTCCTTTCGGAATCCCGACTTTTCGATAGCTTAGCTCATCTGTGTCTCTATTGCCAAACCCCGCATAAAACGGATTGTAGTCGGGAGGGAAAAGCTTCTTAATATCCTGTATTTGTTTATCGCCAGGCAAAAAATAAGGAAAACATTCTACCCATCAGGATAATGATGAAGATCAGATGCTCAATTTTGCATTTTTACCTCTAAACAGGCAATTTTGAATTCATGGGGTGCTCTTCTTATTACTGCCATAGATAAACGAAACCCAAAGTCAATTGTAATATGTAGATACAAAGAAAAGCAAAAATCAATGATAGAATTGAATAAAACTTGGTGCGTGCGCGGAATTTCTTAGACTTCGACTACACTGACATACAACCTTGGCTAAGCTTCTTACGAAATGTTAGCTCAACAGACCAAGCCCACCGCTAGTCGATATTGTCCTCTTTGGGCTTTCCCTTTTGGACTTCCCCTCAAGTTTTAAAACGTGTCTACTAGGGAGAGGTTTCCACACCTTTATAACGAATGATTCGTTTCCCTCTCCAACCAACGTGGGATCTCACAATCCACCCCCTTGGAGGCCCAACGTCCTCGCTGGCACACCCCCCAATGTCTGGCTCTGATACCATTTGTAATAGCCCAAGCTCACCGCTAGCAGATATTGTCCTCTTTAGGCTTTCCCTTTTGAGATTCCCCTCAAGGCTTTAAAAATGCGTCTACTATTGAGAGATTTTCACACTCTTATAAAGAATGTTTTGTTTTCCTCCCCACCAATGAGGGATCTCACAACCACTTTGCTCAAACTAGTGTCAATGTTTCCAAACGTATCAAGTTCTAACCTTCATTAAAACTAATGATCATGAAATTTTACGCATAAAAAGATATCACCTTCTCGAAATAAAGAAGGAAATAGTCCATCGGGTGAGATAACGATCGGTCCATTTGGTAAAGCTTTTCCATCCTGCAGCATACAAGAACTATTTATCAAATTCATACTTTCCTTTGTCAACATAAAAATAAAAAATAAAAGACCATCAGTGCAAATAATGAGAGATCATGATGATAAAAATCAAAACTCTAAGGTAGCTGGTCTGGCCAAGGTCAATTTTTCGATCAAAACGAAGCAGTCACTACCAATTTATATCAACGAAACCTGTTTTAGGTTGAGTAAGAAACTTCGGGTAAGATACGCCTGAACAATGGCCCGTGCACTGAGAAATAGCAGCTGATAACCATTCTCCTGAGTAACACAAAAGCTTCATCAACCATGGAAATTGAATCTTCTAGGAAACACAACTATGGAAGAATCGACATACCTTTATTGCGGTAAATAGTCTAGCCACGCCAGATTGCGTCCAATCCTTCCCGACCAAAGGCATGAATTGACCTAATACATCAGACCTGAAAAATATGATTCAAGATGAGTTATATTATCCAAGGATCATTACAAATGACCAACAAACCACAACAAGAGCCATATCGACATTAGAAATTAGGACCTGGAATGGGTGTGGTCGTGTTAGGTCCAAATTTTCATCCAACGTTCTAATAGATTTCTACTCTAAAGGTAGTTTTGAAACTTGGATTTAAGCGGAGTAGGCTAACATATATTTAAGAGTAAAGAAGGCTCACTTGGTAATAGTCCCATCAACATCAGAAATCACAATTCTTGCATTCCATTTCCATAGGTAAATGTGAGCGTCGACCTGTTAAAAATAATTTTAGCATTAACATATAAAAAAACACAATAACGTGCTTATAATATCCATATCATGAGTCTAGACCGAAACCTTTTGCGTCCCTAGAACCCGAGTTGAAAAAGTGAAAGCTATCATGTTTTGGCCCTCTTTCAGATTCAAAGATGCTATCTGCTCAGTTGTTGGAACATTTGTCCTCACAAGCTGTCTCTTAGAAGGCTCATTGATGCGGTTCGGCACCCTTGGACTTTGTTCTCCTAGTGAGTTCTGTAATGTACATTCGGAATCGACAAAAATCTCCTCATTCGATGAGCTACTGTTACTGTGATCAAGCGTTTTAATCCTTCTAAATGGAATATGCCAGAGCCTCCATCTTCGCCCTGCCGGAGTGGACGTGGGAGTAGATTCATCGTCCCAAGGCCTCAACGAGTCATCCTGTTCCACAGAAATTGCATCTTTGGGATCCACTGCTAAATCAACTCCAAATGCAGCCATCCCCAGTATTATAGGAGCGGCTTTTTCCCACGACATGTACCTTTCTCCATATCTGATAATTAGATTCCCATTTTTAGTAATTGATGAAGCGGACTTTTCAAATTCCTCTGCAGACACATGATGTGCGTCGAAGACTTCGGCTGCAGCAACCAAGCCCATACCAGCACGAAGTTCACGGCCGCAAAGTGATATCTCGAAGCCTGCATGTAACCAGAGAATGTATAGTCTGTGGCAAAGTACTGTTGAAGAATTTGTAATTAAATTTAAATGAAAAGATGATTACTTGTTGAATGATGATATGTACTTCCACATAAAGCGTCTGCTGGAAATATCTCCAGCTCTCTAACACTGCACTCGTCATCAGCAACGGGCCCTTGCGAACCGCTGTCCATTCTTTCAATTCCCTCAATTGTGTCAAACTGTTTGTCATCAAACACGTTTTCCTCGGTTCCACCAGCTTTAACAAGTACCTCTCGAGTCATATTCACAACAGAGCTATCGGAATCACTACCTGAACGTGTCCCATTTCTATCTCTGGAGTCAACAACACTCCCCCCATTGGTTTTAGATACCGATGGAACAATCGTGTTTAATTTTTCTTCTAAATATTCAGCCTCCACTGGAGAGATGACACTTTCAGAATCGGTGTTTCCAACCAGTTTGGCGAATTTCGACAGCTCCAAACAGTCTTTAGAAATCGCTTTCTCTATTCTAATGCGGCCATCTCGAGTTCCTCGGGTTTCTTCAGTTTGGGAAACAGCACTACCCTTAGACTCATTGCTCAAACCACCAACTTTATCCATTGTGGCGTTTTCCGTAGATGTATTGAGCTGATTGATATAATCAGCTGCCCAAGCATCCTCGCCTGTAAACTCGTCGTCTTCACAAAATTCAGTCCCCTCCCCAGGACCCAAATGGAACTGAGGTGTACTTAACTGCACATCTTCTGTATTTTGTTCAGTTGCCAATATCGGTGCAGTCAGGACTTGACCATCGACACTCACTAGGATAACCTCCGAATCCGTACCCTGTGACTCGGCACAACTCTCAGTCTCTAAATTCTCATATCGATTAGAATTAGTCTCTAAATCCTCCACAGAAGACAGCTCATCCTGAAAATCATAGAATCTATGCTCAACATCAGATTCTGCCTTCTCCAATCGAGCAACCGCCATAGAACTGTCTTCATCTCGCAGCTGAATGACTGTAGTATCCGAGACACTGTGCTCCAGCCGACCCGTTACAATGAAATTTTTATTATGGTCATCCTTGCTGTCTACAAAAATGACACCATCCTTAACCATATCATCTGTAACTCCATCAGCCTGATCTCCTTGACCAGTTTCTACTTCCTTTATGAAATAAGCCTCACCAGAGTTATCAAGATACATATGGAACTTGGCTTCAATGCCATTGACAGATATGTGGACGATCTTCTCCGTACCCTTTAAAACGCCTTGAAATTTACCAAATCGAACATACCACGGCGCACTGCGAAAACTCCCATCCTGCTGCTGAACAACGATTATATCGACTGCCCCACCGAAGGGATGAAACGGTGTGGCAACCGAATAAACTCCTTGTGAAATGAGACTGCCAACTCTGCCAACAACGTTCATTTGGACGCTCGATTAGAAATTCACGTTCCTTCGTTTGTTTCCTTTCAATCAAACCTGGCATAATTTATATCCTCCAGTTCTTGTGAAACTAATTTCACAACTTGAATACTTTTCAATCTTTTGTTATAATCACCAGTCTACCAAATCTAACAACAAAATTCACTACATTACATTCAATTCACAATATAAACGCATTGAATTAAGAAACTCTAAATTTCCAATCAAATCAACCAAATACCTGAAATCTAAAAATCAAATTCTTTTGCATGAACGAATCATTACTGAACATAAACGCATTGAATTAAGAAACTCAAAATTTCCAAAGTTCTAACAACACACACAAACGCTTTAACAAATGAAAAGAAAATCCAAACAAACAAACCTAATTCCGATCATGCGATGATGAAAAAAACAAAGAAAGAAAGAAAAAGAAACTTGCCGCAAATTTCGACCGCTGAAAGTTAAAAGAACATACATTCTTCAATCTTGTTGGAGTCTTCCTCCTGGCAACGGAAAAATTTGTAAATTTTGAGGTTTGATGAGGTGGGTCCGAAAATGGGTGTCATGAATCTTCGTAAACGAGAACGATTTGGACGACAACAAAAAAAATTAAAAAAAATACAGAACAGAAATCTCATAACCATACGCATTAAATAGGAAAATGGATGTGCTGGAAATACCAAAATGGCCTCCTTGGAAACGAAATTAACGAATCCAATTAGAGGCATTTGGAGTAAGGGTGTTTTGGAGATTAAGAAAAGTTTTTTGATAATTGATTTTTCCCCGCACTCAATATTGGTAGAACCAGACAACATCAACCACCTAACTCGAAAATTCAATTTTTAATTATTATTTTTTTTAAATAAACAATTACAAGAGTGTACATTCAACCTGGCAACCAGATAATTGGGACCAACCCAAAGGTTGGATTGGATTAGATTAATATTTCAGGTAGGGTTGAGTTTATTTTTCTAAACCGAACTGAATCGGTTCAGTTTCGTGTTTATGGGAAAATTTTCAGGTTGATCCAACCAAATAAAAATATAAAATATATTATTTAATTTTTTTAATATTATTTTATTATTTTATTATTTTTAATTTTTTTTTGTTTAGATTCTTTTATATATATATATATATATATATATATATATCTATTTTAAAAATAACTCAATATTTCATATTATTTTTAAAACACTTTTGAATAAATGAACATATAACTATTAATACATTTTATTAACATTAATTATGATTTATTCTAAATGTTCATAAATTATATATATATATATATAATTTTAAAATATATTCTAAATTATAATATATTTATTATCTATTTTTGTATTATAATAAACTAACATATTAGTACATTTTAACATATAACTATTAATATATTTTATACCTATATAATAACATTAATTATGATTTATACTAAATATTCATAAATTAGATATATATATAATTTTGAAACATATTCTAAATTATAATATATTTATTATCTATGTACTAACATATAACTATTAATACATTTTATCCATATAATAACATTAAGATTTATATTAAATGTTTATAAATTATATATCATATAACTATTAATACATTTTATACATATAATAACATTAATTATGATTTATACTAAATGTTTATAAATTATATATCATATAACTATTAATACATTTTATACCTATAATAACATTAATTAGGATTTATACTAAATTTTCATAAATTATATATATATATATCTATATAATTCTAAATTATAATATATTTATTATCTATTTGTTGGAACATTATTATATCATAATTTAGATATATATTTATTTTTTTAATAATTTAAAGTAAACGTATAAATAAACATATTTAAATTAAAATATTTTTATATATTTTTTATTTTTGTTATATACCATACTCTTAAACTAATCATTTTATTGTTTATTTAATTTCATGATCTATCCTTGTATTTTTGTTAGTTTAACCCATTCTAAAAAATATTGGTATTTAATTGTCTTTAGTTTTATGATATTGTTGATCTATGTTAATATATTACCATTTTTGCTCGTTTTTATTTATTAAATTTATTATTATTATTATTATTATTTTGTCAATAAATTGATTTGTATTTGTTTGTGATTTTTTTATATATTTTATCTATGTATCCGAATAATTATAAATTATGGATAAATAAAACTTTAAAAAAAAATTGACAACCCAACTCGGATCCAACCCGAACCCAATCCAAAAATAATACATTTTATATATAATATCATTAATGATGATTTATACTAAATTTTCATAAATTATATAATATATATAATTTTAAAACATATTTTAAATTATAATATATTTATTATATTTGTCGTAACATTATAATACATTTTATACCTATAATAACATTAATTTAGTAAATGTTCATAAATTATATATATATATATATAATTTTAAACATATTCTAAATTATAATATATTTGTTGTAACATTATAATAAACTAACATATAACTATTAATACATTTTATAAGTATAATAATATTAATTATGATTTATACTAAATGTTAATAAATTATATATCATATAACTATTAATACATTTTATACCCTTATGATTTATACTAAATGTTCATAAATTATATATCATATAACTATTAATACATTTTATACGTATAATAACATTAATGGTGATTTATTCCAAAAGTTCATAAATTATATATATATATATAATTTTAAAATTATTCTAAATTATAATATATTTATTATCTATCTATAACATTATTATATCGTAATTTATATACATTTTTATTTTTTCAATAATTTAAAAATAACGTATAAATAAGTATATTTAAATTAAAATATTTTTATATATTTTTTATTTTTGTTATATACCATATGTATTTAGTTTGATGATAATGTTGATCTATGTTAATAGGTTATCATTTTCTTTTTTATTAAATTTATTACTATTATTATTATTATTATTTTGTCAATAAATTGATTTGGGTTTGTTTATGAACTTTTTATATATTTTATCTAAGATTGTATCCGAATAATTATAAATTATAGATAAATAAAATTAAAAAAAAATTAGAACCCAACCCGAACCCAATTCGAAAACAGAGAGTTGGGTTGGGTTGTGAAAAGTTTCGGGTTGATCCAACCAATCCGAACTTTTGAGTTGGGTCAAAAAAAATTTCCAACCCGAACCATGTACACTCCTAAACAATTACATACACATATATATACAATAGTTAATTTGAGTGTAGGATCGTAGATTTTAATCTCCTAATTCATGTCAATTATTTTAATAATTTTTAATTTTAAGATTTTAATAATTTTTTAATTCTTTAATTTTAGTATCTGCTCCAGTAATATATATTAATTATTATTAAAATTTAGAAATTGGCACATGACCGATTGAAATTAATTAGGTTAAATTGGTATGAAAAAGTTAGTTGATAATAATTATAATTATTAGCAATAATATTATAATTAATTAAGTCTATGTCAAAAATATTAAATTAGTATTTTAGTAAAATTAGATTATAAAACAAAAAGCAAAAAAAAATATAATTTAGGTATATTAGAGAAAGTAGTTAATTTTTTAAATAAAAATAATTTGAACCGTAAATAAATCTCCTTCTCTCCTATTTTTAAAAATCTATAAATTAATTTCATTACCTTCCTTTATTCATTTTCATTTTTCATATTATTTAGAGGGTGAAATTCACTAAGCACAAAACTATTATTGATACCGTTCAAAACCTATAAATTAATTTCATTCCCTTCATTTATTCATTTTCATTATTTGCGTTCTACGAATAGTCTAAAACCATCATCGATACCATTCAAATTCTAAAAATGTTAGATCAGGAAAGTTTCAATGATACCGTTCAAAACCTATAAATTAATTTCATTCCCTTCATTTATTCATTTTCATTATTCAAATCCAATTCAGCATTCTAGAAGAGCCTAAAACCATCATCAATACCATTCAAATTCTAAAGGTTAGATCATGAAAGTTTCAATGATACTGTTCAAAACCTATAAATTAATTTCATTACCTTCATTTATTCATTTTCATTAATTCAGCTTTCTAGGAAGAGCCTAAAACCATCATCGATGCCATTCAAATTCTCAAAAGGTTAGATCATTCGAGTTTCAATTTTTTTCGTTATTTTGAGTTGTTTTTCAATTGGTAGATGTTAAGGTTAGAGTTTTTTTTTTTTTTTTTTTTTTGTCCCCTAACAATTTTGATTCGGTATTTTACGGAAATAATAGAAATATGTTCGAAATTTTTATAAGAATTTATTACATTAAATTTAAAGTTGTAGTTGTGTAGATCTTAAATGTAAATTTATAAGCTACTACATTTTATTTTTAAATTTCCCACCAAAATTGAAATATATATACATCTTGTTTTTTTATCATTCTCTCCAAAAAAAATTCTTTAAATTCAATTCAATTTTGGTTGTAGTTTTGATTCCTTTCATTGCAATGGATTCAAGCATGTTTCCGTTCGGCTACAACTTCGCTCCCACAGATGAAGAATTATTGACCTATTATTTGTTTCATAAGATTGTTGGAGACATAGTTCCGTCAATTGCGCTGCCTGTGATCGATATTTACTCACAAGAACCTGCTATGATATGGCAACAATGTGGAGGAATGGAGGATAAAGACATCTACTTTTTCACAACCCTGAAAAAGAAGAAATCTCGTGTCATTAGGAAGGTCGGTCTTAATGGTGGCACTTGGAGTGGTGAGAGCAAAGGTCATAAAGTATTTTCTTCTACTAACAATGCTCCCATCGGTACTATTAAACGTTTTCATTATGAGACGTCTGGAGGAGTGAATGCTAACGATGACGATTGTTCTTGGATAATGCATGAATACACACTTGATCCTACCGTCCTAACCAATGGGTTTGTACATGATTCGTATGTAGTTTGTCTAATTCGAAAAAGAATATTGAAAAAGGTAAAAAATACGGCCTCATCAACTATACAAGCACCCTTTGTTTCTAATGGCCCAGCCGGCCCAGATGCGCTTTACATGGATGGGGTCAATAAATGGTACATATCATTTCTTATCGATCAAAGTTATATATTTTTTAACATTGTTTATAAATATTATTATTTTTTAAATTTTTACAGCCCACCCGCACAAATGATAGAATTATATGATGATATAATGTTTGCAAATGAGCTTGAGGAGCAACTAGAAGAATTAAATGCGGAACATTCTAATATATAATGTTCACAAATGAGCTTGAGAACCAACTAGAAGAATTAAATGCGGAAGATTCTGATGATATAATGTTTGCAAATGAGATTGAGAACCAACTAGAAGAATTAAATGCGGAACATTATGATGATATAATGTTAGCAAATAAGTTTGAGAAGCAACTGGAAGAATTAGATGCCGAACATTGCGACATAGAAAAAGATTCAACCAATGACTTTGAAGGGTAGGTAACATTTTAATTTTCATTGATAACAAAAAAAAATTATAGGTATAATATTTTTTAAATAATGTTATTTTTTTCCTTCAGTTTTTGATGGGAATATTAATAATTTCGAAGGATCCCTTAACTATTAAGGGATTAATAGAACGAATTGCACTTTTACCACTAAACTATATC